CAAATGATTTCCTGAGGGTGACTTTCAAGTGCCTTGGATAGTCTGCACAGGTGCCATAACCCAGCAGGTACAATGTGGTCTATGGGAAACGGCCATTTTCCTCACTGCCCAGGAGACACAGACCCGGGGTGGGGAGCAAGTGGTTGTGTCCAGTGGCCTCCTGTTCATATGGTACCTTCCTGCTTCCATGTGTGGATGCCCTAACCCTTGGGTCACTGTACCCCTGCCCCGAGACAACAGAGCCCAAGGGGGAGTGGGGACAAGCTGGTATCTACTGAGAATGCTCATCCTCCAGACACCTGTTACAATTTGTACTCTCTTTTCTTTTATTTTAATTGCAATATAATTGACATTAAACACATTAGTTTCAGCGTACAAAATAATGTGTGTGTGTGTATATATGTATATATATACATATATATGTGTATATATATATATAAATAATCACCAAAATATAGTGACATGTACTCTTGATGTTCTGTCCTGAGTCTTCTACTAAGTCAACTATAATATACTTTAAAAGTGAACTTGCCCCAGACATTGGTAATAAACATGAAGCAACGGCTGGGTAGTCCTGCCTTAGCCTATCCTGTGCTTGGTGAATGTGGCAGCACCTGGGAGCTGGTTACAAACGCAGGATCTCAGGCCTGGCCCCGGACCTCCAGGATCAGCCTCTGAAGGTGGGCCGCAGGAATCTGAGATTTTATATCTGCTGAAGTCTGAGAAGCACTGGTGGAAGGAACGCCCAGGTCACTGCTGGGTTCCCTGGAAAAGGACAGAGGGCAGCACAGCCAGTGTGGGTTTGTGAGTCAAATGTGATTAAGTACCATTTGCTGTTGGTAATACTGGGAGTGGCAGCTACCTGATCTAAATCTGAGAGTGTGCATAAAAACCAAAGAATCCAATTAAAAATGGGCAAAGGACCCAAATAGACACTTCTCCAAAGAGGACATACAGATGGCCAATAGACATATGAAAGGATGCTCAATGTGACTAATCATCAGAGAGATGCAAATTAAAACCATAATGAGTATCACTGCACACCTGTCCAAATGGCTATCCTATCATCAATAAATCAACAGACAGGTGCTGGCGAGGATGTGGAGAAAAGGGAACCCCCGTGCACTGTTGGTGGGAATGTGTATTGGTGCAGCTACTGCGGAAAGCAGTATGAAGTTTCCTCAAAAAATTAAAAATGGAACTGCCTATGACAATCTCATGGCAGGTCTCCAAAGGAAGAGGGTAGCCTTCCCCGGCCTTTGTCCTTGTCAGGCTCCTCAGGACTAAGAGGGTGTCAGCACAAAGCCCAGTTTGGCTGAGCCACGGGACATGACTTCTTTACCAGGTCTACCCCAGGTCCTCAGCTGGGAATAAAAAGCCAAGCTCACTGTCGTTCATGATCTACCGAAAGCTTGGGAGAGAAACAAATTTTGGGAGATGATCCCTCCCTCTAGGATTAAGCTAAGCCCCCAGGAGCTGCAGGTGGGACCACCTTGTGTTGCCCAGCCTCCTTCAGGGCAGTGTCTTTTCGGCACTACACCTGGCTGGGCACCGGGCACACACTGCAGCCCCTATGTAAGAAAAGCCTTGGAGGTCTTGCTGTTGTCCTGGAGGCGCAGCTCACAGCTGGCTGTCGACCCCACACAAACATGAGACGGTGAGGAACTGCTCCCAGGACTCTGAACCAGGAACACGCATCCAGAGCATGGCTTACTTTACCTCACAGACTAACTTGCATCACGGGTGATTTTCCATTTTGTTTTTGCTGCTACAAAACTCAAAGTCAAATTTGGGGCCTATTTCTGGAACCATATCGTCCAACAGAACTTTCTTTCATGATGGAAATTTTCTGTATTGTGCTGTCCAATATGGTAGCCAGTAACCACATGTGGTGACTGAGTACTTAAAATGGGTCTAGTGAATTTTGTATTTTATTTAATTTTAATTAACTTAAATTTTAAATTTAAATGGCCACACACAGCTAGTGACTCCCAACTTACAGCACAACCACAGACAGCATCCAGAAATGGCATGCGTGTTGGACGTCACACTTGGTTTATCTTACTTTCCTTTCAGTGTCTTTCCTCTATGTCATATCCCTTAGGTATCTAATAATTTTTACTAAACTTCTTGTGTGGTTTATATCTTTGTCAGCCATCTTAAATCTTGTTTTAAAAATATGAGATCTACTTACAAATACAAAAAAAAGATATCATCCCATATTCCCAACTTTTTTGACTAGGTACTCCCCTTCCCCTGGGGCCCTTTAATGCAATACAGGGTAATTAATATGTTCAAAATTAATTAATATGTTAAGTTTTAAGGGAAGGGAGTCCCAGGAATAGGGGAGGAGAGGCCTTCTCTGTTTCTGTCCCTGTTCTTTTTCTTCATCTGGGTTCTGCCCACACAAATGTTCAATGTGTGAAAATTCACTGATATATATATATATATATATATATATATATATATATAAAAATATATGAATGATATATGCACTTTTTGTATAATTTATATCACTCTTCAATAAAAAGTAAAAGAAAACATAAAGAGAACCTATTATGTTCAAAGTCAATGTTAATTTAGTTCTAGGAGATGTGGATCCACAAACAGACCTTGATTCCAGAAAGCTGTAGTTTAGTATCATCAGGCATTAATGCAAATTTTTAAGATGCCTTTTCAGAGGGATCTCAGGCAACTTCTGATGTCAGCACCTCCCAGATGCCCACCTCCTGCCTATTCCCCTGAACCCGGCAAGGCCAGGAAGGAAGGAGAAGTGAGTGTCAGAAGGAGGAAGGCTTGCTTTCTGTCTTATCAGATCTTAGTAAAGAACATTTCCAAATTCTTATAAGAGGGTGAGTAGCTCCTAGAAAATAGCTTCTCAGCTTTTTTCCTCCAGAGGAATTAAATGGGAGGAGGAGGAGGTCTCTGAAATAGGAAATGTTAAATCAATGAGGCAGGATGAGAAAATAAAACAATGTATATTTTAAGAATGTAATTGAAAATTACCCAACAAAGATTTTTCTTCAATGTATAACTCCACCCAACTGAACAAAAGCATTTATATTAAAAACTAGTTGAAGACTGAACTTGGGAAATATATATTGCTAAGGCAAATGTGGATAAAAATGAGCTCTCTCAACCCCATGACCTAAATATTTTAATTTTGCTAAAGAGGGAAACACATTTTTACTTTAAGAGTAATGCAGAGCAATGGGCAGGAGTGTATCTCATACTGGGGCAGAAAGTTGCTTGCTGAAGTGATGGGGTAAAAGCAACCTGTTCAAATGGCCATAATTAATAGTTATGAGGGGCTATTAGTCATTTTGACTGGGAATCAAACTGGCGACCTCTTGGTACATGGGTCGATGCTCAACCACTGAGCCACACCAGCTGGGCTGGACTTTATAACCATTTAAATGTGTGGGTCTTTGAAACATTCTGTCAGTGGTTCCTTTGAGCAGAGTCCAGACCAAGCTCTCACAGTGTTCTTTCACTTACATTATTATAGAGATTGAGAGAAAAAATTATTTTAATGACTACAAAAGGGACGAAGTCCTTCAGAAATAACCACATTCATTTTGGTTTTTTAGTAGAAACAAAACCTTATTTTAACTTTTACTTATTCAACTGCATTATATTTTGCATAAAGAATTGGCAGTCTTCAAACAGAATAAAGTTTTTTCTCAGATTTCAAAGGGGATTATAAGGCTAGCTTTCAAAAGTTCACTGAATAATAAATCAATATTATTTACTTATCTGTACAGTTCCAAGGAAAATCTGAAAATTATCTAGTTCCTATAAACAGTAAATATCTCAAGGTGACCTTTCGGACTTGAACAATGTGTCCTGGCTGTGATTTTGGCCAGTATCTGACATGTGTCAAGTTCTCAATTTATTTTGTGATATGTGGATTATAGTTCTGATGTTTAATGCCACAGCCAACAAAAACTGAAGCTTTACCTGTGATTTAAGTACCTACAATCAGCACCTTTCAAGACAATGGCCCCTAATTCACTATCAACTTTCTCCTTTCAGGTAGCCAAAAGGGAACACTGAGGAAACAGAGATTTTTCAGAAAAACAAAGTTTTATATTCCTCAAACTGATTTACATATTAATCCAAGAAAGCCTGGGTTTCGAAAGCGTTTATCAGATAGGGCCATATGCAGGACATTCTAAAATATACATGCTGCATTTTGAATTCTAGGGTATAATTAATGATCTTGAAAGAGTGTGGGACAACCACTGGAAGGATGGGAGGAGAAAGCATGGAAGGAGAAAGTAACTGAGCAAAGACATAAACCATGGAAGGAACAGGACAGTTTACCATTTAAGGATCCATTTCCTGAAAAGGTATTCACTCACCCTTTCCTAAGCTTAATGAAACCAGAAGGTCCAAAGGCATCACTTACTCCTTAAAATGTTTATGAGAAGGTCATTTTCAAGTGATCACTGAATTTTAACAACCTACTGTCCGGCAGTGCAAGGGTAGAAGGTGGGGTGCTACCAGAGTGAAGAAGAAAATAGATACCTTCTCTGGTGAATGTAATACATCTCACAACGTTCATAGATGGGTATTCCTTAAGTTCCTTTGTGGGAGTGAAGGATACATCGGCAAAACTGCCTAAGTGTGAAGGAGCAGATTCAGGAATCTTTAATAACAAAGTCCCTGGTACAAGCTCATCTGAAACCCCCGGAGCCACCAGCATTCCGAGCGCTCAAATGCAGCTGGATGAAGAGGCGGGGCGGGAATGGCACTTGCTTGTCTGAGGCACGTGGCCGGACAGTCAAATGAAAAGAACCAATGGAAAGAGCCCTCCTCTTTTGCTTCGGTATCATATGGACACCTTGACTGAGTCTGAGGCCACACTCAGGGTCATCGATCCCTCCTTTTTCTTAACTCCTTGCTCTATAACACGTAATCACTAGGGTTTCCGGCAGAGCCAACCCACCTTTTCTCCGCTCCCCCACACAGACAGGGACACAGACTTCCCCAGGTACCTGCAGAAGGATCTTGTTCCCGTCGTGGTCCTCCGTCTGCCAGCGCCCCTCACTGATGGGGCTGCAGGGCTTGGGCAGGAGGGGCACGAGCTCGCCGATGTCCTTGACTCGGAACTCCAGCAAGGAGCAGTCGGCGGGGACCGGATTCTGGTCGCAGGGCAGCCTCTTGAGGGAGAACTGGATGTCCACGTCCAGGTTGGAGAAGATGGGGAAGATGCAGAAGTCCATCTTCCTTTGGCTGGGGCTCCGCCGGAGGATGAGCTGGTAGAACTCGAGGCTGTCGGCGTAGTTGCTGTGGCGGCAGTAGATGGTGAAGCGCACGATTTCGCGGCCGTAGTGCACGGGCCGGATGGCCCACAGCGGCGTCCCCGGGGCCAGCGTGAAGAAGTCCTGGCTGCAGGGCAGGTAGGGCAGGAACCTGCCGGGCACGCGCTCCGTGTGGTGGTGGCGCCAGGGCGGCCGCTGCAGCGTGCGGTGCAGCTGCAGGATCTGCTCGTCGCCGTACTCCTCCTGCAGGAACAGAACCACCGCCAGCGCGGGCTGCGCCGCCTTCGGGGCCTTCCGCCGCCGCCGGGAAGCCCTCCTTTCAGAGACCCGGAACAGCTGCAGGTCCGGGTGGATCCAGGCCAACACCTTGTCGATGGCCTCCTGCAGGGGTTGGGATTCCCCTGGGTCTGCGATTATGTGGATGCTAACCAGGAAAGGGTCCTGTGCTTCCTCCACAGAAAGCTCACCTGGGAGCACAAAAAGAAAAACAAACAAATCCCCAAATTGTGATGATTTCATTCAGGGGTCCTGTGATGACAATGGAAAGGCTTGGCCGGAAGAGAAGCTAAATTCTAACTGAATTGACTCTATGATCGTTATGATTTTCTGATCCCAAGTTCATGTGCAAAAACTCGTGTTGCAGTAACCTAGCAGCCAACAACTGAAGAACTGTCCCTATGAATGGTTGCCCAGCTGGGCGGTGTTAGGAAAACTTTGGTGCTGTATTTCATCAGGTTGAATACACTTGCTATTAGGCAGTAGAAAGTCAAGTCTCCACTGATCTGGAAGGGATAACAGGCCCACTAGAGAAGATGCTGTGGCCTTAAGTGCACATCATTTAGTATTTCCTGAAGCAACTGTAGTGCCTTACTTCACAAATGTTCCTTATACCATTGTACTCCTTTGGTTTGCTTATCTCGTTGGTGTATTTTGTTCATTCATTTAACAAACATTTATGGAATCCCTTCTTTATGCCCTATGCTAGGTGCTGTGCTAGGCACTTCCTCTAATTGACAGGTGAAGCCCCAGCTGTTGAGGCATCCTGCCAACAGTGTTCTGATGGTGGGGTGGCCTGGTCATGGTCACTTTGTTGCTGGAGACACAAGCAAGAACAATCCAGGGACAAACACAGTGTTCTTGCTGCTGGAGCTTACTAGGGTTATGGTTAGGTGTGGGGAACCAAGGTGGGGCCATTACTGCCTGTGTAGTGCTGTCTTTTGGGCCTCTCCTCAGGCCATGTCCACTCAGAAACCCATACATCCTAACTGGGTCAGTTACCCACCCTATGCTCTTTGGCAGAACATTTGGAAACTTCAAATTCCAAGCGTGAAGTTGATTGTTTAACTTGGCAACACTTTCCCATGGGGTGAACAGTTTGTTTGGCCACACTGGTATAATTATAATTCACAAATATTCAGCATATTTTATCAAATAACCTGATAAAAGTCTTGCTCTTTTAAAACATGGACTCTACTTGCATTTATAGAAGCTTTATGACCCATCCAAGGACAATCAAGAAGTACATATTTTTTACTTTATTTTTTTTTTAAGATTGGCAGAGCCTCAGAAATGATTACTAGGAGAGAGAACATAGGCACAGGCTTGCCTTTTCTAGATCAAGTCTCAACTTTTTTTTTTTAATCCTCACTCGAGGACACCTTTGCATCCATCTTCAGATAGAGCAGGAGGGAGAGAGGGAGGAAGACAGAGAAACATCGATGTGAGAGAGACATATCCAGCGGCTGCTATCCACATGACCCCAACCCCAGGTCAGGGACAAACTGCAACTGAAGTACTGTCCTTGGCTGGAATCGAATCCAGGACTCTCTGCACCACAGTCTGACACTCTAAACACTGAGCCAAACTGGCCAGGGCAAGAAATATGTATTTAAAAAAAAAAATGTTTAAGTCTATTTTTACTTGGGGGTTAGAGTCATCTAGCATCTAGACCTGTCTTCACACACAAGCCTCACAATGTTCACTAGGGTGTCAGGCACTGGGCGATCATGCAGTCAATAACATTTAAGAAGTGGGATGTGCAGTGAGGGCGGTGTGGGAAGAGATTAACCAAAGAACTTATATGTATATATGCACAGGCCATGGACACAGAGCATAGTGCAGTGAAAGCCTGGTGGGAGTGGGGTGGAGGGGGCCAATGGGGGATAAAATGGGGTACATCTGTAATACTTTCGACAATAAAGATAAATGATAAAAAAAAGTGTGATGTGCTTTCAGAACCATATCTCAATCGGTTCACAAGATGAAAGGTAATTAAAAAAATTTTTTTTTCTTTATTGATTTTAGAGGAAGGGAAAAGCAGAGAGAGAGAGAGAGATAGAAACATCAATGAGAGAGAACATTGATTGGCTGCCTCCTGCATGCCCTCCACTGGGGATCTGGCTCACAACCTGGGCATGTGCCCTGACCAGGATATCAAGCTGGCGACCTCTTGGTACATGGGTTGATGCTCAATCATTGAGCCATAGCAGCCATACAACCTTTTGTTGTAGGTAAACAAGACACTTCAAGTTAGGTTACAGGTACAGTCTATCATATGCACCTGTAATAACATGGTTTTAATTTTGTTTGATCAAAACCCAACTTTGTTAGATATCTCACTTGGGAATAGTTAGTTCAATGTGTTGTTATTTTCTTTCTCATTTACTCATGCATTTACACATTTCTTGAGCAATTAGTATATACTAGGCATTGGAGAGATAAGGAAGCTGGTGCTACTGAGTTCTGTGAAGTCCGTTTATACAGCCTCTGGTGTGAACAGTGCACCCTCAAAGCTGTGCAGTGCACGGCCTGCATAGTCTTCTAAAGAACCACAAACCACAAATGAGAACTCTATGAGTTAGTTGGGAAACACAGATGTAAAAAATTAAAATCAATCTGATATGTGCCTATAGGAACTACAATAGAGCAGTATCTTAGGCAGGAGTGGTATTCTAAAGTTGTCATGAAACAACAATTATGTATAGACAATATTACCATTGGAAAGTTCCTTGGATTTCCAATATGGTACTGAAGGTATTGACTTGCAACAACACAGCCAAAGAGATGTTCCTTTGATTGAATACCAGGTGAAATAACAGGCTTGCTTCATGGTTGTGTTATAAATTAATTAATTATCATTAAACACTAGACACCCCTCCTCCTTCCCCTTTCCACCCAGGCTGTGCCTTTCACTCTACAAGAAGATTCTGAGAACTCAAGAGGCTTCTGGAACCAAAGGATGACTAAGGTAACAACACAGTCAAGTGTTAGTACGCCCATGATCACATAGTAAAATGGTGGGTGGGGTTACCTAAACTTCTCCCCTGCCAGCTGAGCATGTATACCTCAATATGTATGACATAAATATGAGCACAGTGCAATTCCAATTTACTATCACATGATAAAGGAAGGGGCAACTTTTTCTCCAGAGGGCTTCTGAGAAGGCTTTCTGGCCAAGGCACAATGTGAATGGATCTTGAAAGGTAAACATTTCACTTATGATAACCTCCAAATGTGGGAGAGATGGCTGTGGAAGAGGAAAGACTGTTTATGAAGGCACAGAGCTTTGCAAAAAACAAGCATAATTGGAAGAGGGTGGTGAGTAATTCTGAAACATAGCAACAGATACAACAGGAAAAAAAATGAATTAGAGCCAAGTTGTATAGGGCTTCAGTTCAATAGTTCAGAAGTGATAAGTGGAAATGGAAAGTTTTAATAAAGGGATGTTGGGATCAAGTCAGGGGGAGGTTAACTACAGGCAAAGTAAGAAAACAGAAGAGTCTAGACAAGAGAAAACAAGGGCTTGGCAGTGCAGGAGACTGCATTACAGGCCCCAGTTCTTTATGCTGCCCTTCTCCTCGCTCTCTGCCATGAGACTTTGTAGTTAGTTCCTCCCACTAAGTGTGTTAAGTGTGATTCCCCACTCTTTAACTTTGCATTAGATCACATGCCTAGCTTGGCCAACAGAAAGAGACAAAAGTGACATGTGTTTTGGCTTGCCTTCGTGTGCTTCTGACATTTCCATGAGAAGAACATACTCAAGCCAACCCACTGATGCCAGAAAGGAGAATGAGAGAGAAGTGGAGCAGAGGCACCAAGCTGGGCCCACCTACATCAGCGAACTTCAGACACCCTAAGACACATAGTATAGCCACCAAGCTAAGCTTCATCTATATGAGCTGACCCAAAACACATGGGAAAAAATAGATGACTGCTGCTTTGAGCCATTGTTTGGGGGTGACTGTCACCCAGCAATGTTACAGATGCAGGCAGGTCACTGGGTTATGGAAGAGGTGTGGACTCAGAGGCTATTTAGGAGGCACATGTGACAACTACACGACCTGATGGTGGGGAGCAGGAAAGCAAGAGGAGTAGACCTTGATATTTCCAGCTTGAGCAACTGGTCTGATGCTGATGCTTAACAGAGCTAAGAAATATTTAAAAGGGTGGTTTGTGGGGAAAGATGAGAAATTCTGATTTGGCCACACTGGCTTGAGATGTCTGAATGATTTCCAGGAGAAATGTCTTGTTGGCAATTGTGTTTTGCTGAGGTGATGGGATGAGTTTAAAAATGGACCAGTTATCCTTAGACCATATTCCTACTTTTATACACTGATCTCATAAGTGTGTGCCCCCCTATTCATTTGAATCAGGGAAAATTCATCATGATGGTTTTAAAAAGCAACTCCAGGAAGATGGCGGTGGGCAGGACCGGAGGGAGGGTGAGTGTGTGAGAGAGTGAACTAGTGTGTGAGAGTGTGAGTGGACGTGAAGGTGGATGACCAAACCTGAGCAGTGCAGAGCCCCGGAGCAGAAGGTCCCTGTGCTGTGGACGGGAGCAGCCGGCTACCGGAGTGAGCGGCCCTTCAGGGCACTTCTCCCTGCGCCCCGGGGAGGTCCCACCATTTTGGAAGATCCTGGGTCTTCCCTGGGAGGAGGCAGTAGGAGCAGCTAGGGCCCAGTAACCCGAATCCACCAGCGCACCTGGCACCATCAGACCAGTGGACACTCTGTGTCAACACAGACCGATGCACAGTAGTGGAGCTCCCAAGGTGCTGGTCGCAGAAGCCGTGGACAGCCGGGAGCCCAGCACCATCCCCCACAGCCTGATCAGAGTCGAGATATACCCCCAGCAACAGAGGCTGGGGAGCAGACATCCATTCCCAGGCAACAGAAGCACAGACCAGCAGCAGAGACCCATCCCCAAAAACTACAGCAAAAGCTGAGCAGGAGTTGAGCCCCACGAGGCAGCAGCACTCCCCAGCTGCCAGCGGTGGGACCTCGGGCTCCACAGAGATCTGTGCAGTCCAGTAGCTCACAAGAGCAGTGGGAAGCCTGAGCCCCAGAGAAAATAGTGAGATCCAGCTGCCCGCCCATGGGAACTGCAGGGTGCAGGGGCACCAGAGAGGCCTGTGCCACACAGCAGGGACTGTGCGATCCAGTTACCAGTAGGACCTACAGGGTTCTG